TCCCGAACCCCGGGGGCTATCCACGCAGGGGTGGTCTCATTCGAAAGAGGGCCTCGAGATGTACACTCGATTCGTGTTCGAGAGGGTTCCTTGAGCTGAAGAGATCCCCCGAATTTGGTGCGGATTTGTCGCGCCATTACGCAGATATGGCCGTTCAAAGTTTCAATGGTTTTCCCTTGACTTAAGCTTTAAAGCGTTTCATCCAGGTCGTCAGTAGCAAACAATGGAGGACAAACTAAGTAATTACACCATTTCAAGCATTTTATCGGCATTACATGTTCTGTATACAATTTTTTTTTTAAAAAGTCATATCGGCGGCATATTCGCCGATACCGATATATCGGCGACAGGCTCATATCGGCCGATATCGGCTCATATTGGTCGTGCTCTAGTTTATATCACGCAATTCCGACTTTACACCACGCAACGGTGTTGAGATCACGCAATTGTGGGATGAACAGTCGCAATAACCTTTTTTTGTTTGTTTTATTCAGTGGCGGAAACGGCCTTCCACACTCCTCTCCTCTCACACATCCACTGAAGAGGTTTACACACAGGTTTGACTCACTAGGACATGTCCAGCAGCTGGTCCAGATCCACACCTCTGTAGGTGAACTTCCTGAAGGTGCGCTTCTTCTTCTGCTCTGCGTCCGCCTGAGGTAAACACAACCAGAGACAGCAGCTATCGTCAGGCCTTTACTTAACCGACAGCGTGTTGATTAAACAGCCGGAGAGTAATAAAATAAATACACTCCTACTTAATCTCACGTTAAAGATACGCAGACACTTAAGAATACACTCGAGAATCCATCATGCCTGATTTAGTACAGCGCGAAGCTGCTAATCACTCGAACATCTATATAAACATTCGTCCCAGGCGAAAAATAATGGCCTGCAGGCGTGCTTTAACTCTTCAATAAGCTTTATTCATATTTTCTACTCTGCTTTGCTTCATATTGACAGTAGATTCGATTGGATTACTGTAGTTTTGGTATTCAGAAATGAGACGTGAACCTACCATCTTCAGAGACTCCCGGAAAAGGAAGACCACAGAAGAGACGCGGTAATATCGCGAGAGTTCAGGGAATATTTATGGGGAGTTTAGTAAGTCGCCCACTAGCGGAGCGGAGGAGGAAAGCATTCTTTTACTTCGACATCAAAAGGTGAGGGTTTTATTTTTTAGAGAAAATTAACGAGTCAACTTGTCAGTTTTTATTTTAACCGATCGGTTTTCAGAGACTCCCGGAAAAGGAAGACCACAGAAGAGACGCGGTAATATCGCGAGAGTTCAGGGAATATTTATGGGGAGTTTAGTAAGTCGCCCACTAGCGGAGAGGAGGAGGAAAGCATTCTTTTACTTCGACATCAAAAGGTGAGGGTTTTATTTTTTAGAGAAAATTAACGAGTCAACAAACAAAGCAAGCACTAAATGCACTGTAGTACTGTATAGGTCAGTAGGTTTTTCCTTTGGTAAAGAAATTAAGACTTTAATTTAGCAAGGATGTATTCAATTAAACAAAAGTGACAGTAAAGACATTTATAGTTAAATAAATAAATTATATATTTCAAATAAATGCTTTTGTTTTAAACTTTTTCATCAAAGAATCCTGAAAAATGATTCATGGTTTCTACAAAAGTATTAAAAAGCAAAAAAATCTTGATTGAAACTAATGATTTAGCTAACTTAGCCTTTATAAAAATATATATAGGCCTACACAGGCTATATATTTACACATAATACAGGCTATGTAGTTCTAACATCATTTATTATGCATTCAGCATTAATGATCTCATATTGGGAAAATACATACACTATTCATACTTAATTTTGCAAACTCACTGAAGATAAATGTGATTAAAAGCATAAAGACTTTCCCTTATACAATCCTGCAAAAGTGTGTCATGGTTTCCATTGATAGTCAGACATGTTTCTTGAGAAACAAATCATATTAGAATGATTTCTGAAGATCATGTGAAGACTGGAGTAATGATGCTGAAAATACAGCTGCGCATCACAGAAATAAATTACATTTTACTATATATTCACATAGAAAACAAGTTATTTTACTTTTGCATGGTACATTCAAGTCAGTTTTATGATTTCTGGTACATGCACTATATGTTTATATATAAACATACTCATTATATTAGTCTTGATGAAAATCGAAGTGAGTACAATTGTTCTTTTATGCCAAAAATCATTAGGCTATAAAGTAAAGATCATGTTCCATGAATATATTTTGTAATTTTTTTACCGTAAATATATCAAAACTTAATGTTTGATTAGTAATATGCATTGCTAAGAACTTCATTTGGACAACTTTATAGGCAATTTTCTCAGTATTTGGATTTTTTTGCACCCTCAGATTCCAGATTTTCAAATAGTTGTATCTCAGCCAAATACTGTCCTAAAAAAACATACATCAATGGAAAGCATATTTATTCATCTTTCAGATGTATAAATCTCAATTTCTGACAATTGACCCTTATGACTGGTTTTGTGGTCTAGGGTCACATATTATATGTTGTTGATATAAAATACTTTTGGGAAGTTGATGTCCTGTGCCCATGCTACTCTCAATAGTTATCATACATTCAGCTTTCATGACCTCAATTTTTAGACTACATAACATATTCATATTTATTTTCTGCAAACCTAGTAAAGCCAAAAAGGTGTTAAAACACCTCATACATCCAGGACGTGTTATATGTGAACTGTAATATATTTACAGTAATATAATACTGGGATGATGACATACTATACAAAACCGTGGACATTGCACTTCTTTTAATATTTGACAAGTTCATGTTGAAACAGATAGCTGGAAAGTCTTGCGTTCATGTCAATTTAAAAGCAATTAAAACATCACCTCAATGAATCTGCACAACACGTTTTATTTAAATCATTTATTTCAAATAAACTCTCATTTTTGTGTGTTTTTTTTTCTTTTTTTGCATAAGTGCAAAGTGCACCAACAGCCACCTGAGGGAAGTCTACATCCTTAAATAAAATAAAAAACAAGAAAAGCGCACATATATTAGTACAAAATTCTTTTAAAAAATTGCACAGTTTAGGTGTATAATACACATTTGTAATCTATTTCAAACTTAAATAAAATGGTAAAAGGCTCCTAGAGTAAACAAAATTCACAAAATTGAAAATAAAAACATTTCCCCACTAATATAATTAAAGCTGAATAATTGGGAGACCCTGTCGCTGACGTCTGGTGCGTCTGTTCTGTGCTGATGTTTGACCAGACAATCCCTAAATCCTATTGCTAAATACTTCAGTAGTTCAGTCCTACTACAAAATATAGAAGAGTACGGTGGTCTCCTATTATCGGAGTAGAGCCCGTTCACAATTTACACACAATAAAACCCCTTTTATTTGCTCCCGAATCCAGTTCTCGTGCTCAAAACGTCTGTATCCCTGACGATGTGTATTGCATTGGGGGTGGGAGAGCAGCTCAGCGCCGGTAGGGGTGGAAGCCCTGTACATTGTGGTTCTGTCCTCGTCCGAAGCTGCTGGCAGCCGGCTGGGCTCCTGACGAGGGTGCGGAGGGGGCTGCGGCGTACGAGGCAGTTTGCTGGCTGGGGTCTGCAAAGCTATGACCAAAAGCACTCAGGTCCTGCCCATAACCTGTCTCAACAGACATGAAAACATGGGACGTGATATTAAACACCAGTAAACTTGGAAGCGCCAGCATGCGACCAGGCTTTCTGGACATCTCTTGTAACCCCTCAGCATTTGATTGCGTTTGCTCGATTTTTCACTTTTTCACAAGACAAAGGCCACGTACACACCGCGGCTAAATACAGTTGACACTTCTCTCAAATCCAAAGTATACTTTGGTTTTTGCACTGTGCACGTGACATGATTTTTTTTGCACTTTTGTCTCAATGATAAATTAACTTTATAATGTTAACGCCGATAATGAAGTGATTTCACTCTTAAAAGCAGCTTTGCGGTGTGTATGTGGCCAAAGTATGTCCAATGCATCTACAAAAGAAAGACTCAAAACATAATTAACCGAACAGGAAAGGGCTACAAACAAAAGTACGATGACAAACAGGTCATGAAAACACATTTAAAGCAGTCTGGAAAAATTTAAACACAAACACCAAAGGCAGAAATGCATTTTGGAGAGAGTTTATTCGAAAGTCTCTAGATGAAAGTGAAACATTAGACTACGGGAACACAAATGAAGAGAAATGGATTACTTTTAAGAGTCGAGTAAAGAATCGAATTGCCAGTGGTCGCCGAATCCGCACAGATTTATTCAGCCGTGTTTGTCACACGCTGCATGAGGGGCACAAAATCCACAGAAAACCCAGCAGAGACAATATTAGATCATCCTTTTGGCAGCAAAGCAATGCAGTGATGGGAAAAAGAACATCTGAAGCAAGCCGTCAGTTTTGTTCATATAATAAACTACAGCTACAAGCCATACGAGTTACAATACTGAGAGAAAAGAAAACACAAACATGGAATTTATTGTATTTCATTCAAACATGCGCCTTTGGAGGCTCTCCGAATGACATGTAGCTGTACTTCAGTATATCTCATGAGAAACCGAAGAGATTGATGTAGAATATGCACACTGCATATGCATATTGTACATGGGATGCATGTAACAGAACCGAAGCATTATGGGTCCACAGGCTAATGTTTGTTCTATTGGGTTGAAGTGATTGTAGGATGCAGTTGCTCACCTACCTGCGCTATATCCCTGCTCTTCCTGTACATAAGTGTGAGAAGGACGCGTTGGTCCGTAGGCAGAGGGGTCCTGAGGATAGTTACCCAAGCCTAGCAGGGAGACGAGGAGACCAGGTTGACTCGACCCAAAGAGAGTCTGACTTAACTACTACCTTACAGCTCCTACCCAGGTGAACCCTGCCCTCTCCTGCTTTCAGGGCTCATGAACAGAACATGTGGATGGATCGGCCCCGCGCTGTTTCTAAATGAGTATGTTTATCAGGCTGCTCGGCCATTGAGGTGCTGATGAATGGAAGCAAAGCCGAGGCGTGACACACAGCAGCTGATGAGACTGTCTTGTAAGACCACCCATACATACATCCAGCCCACACAGACAGCCTGACCCCATGCTAACAGCACTTTATGTACGGCAAAGAAAAGTGACGGGTCTAAATCGGGCTCAAAGACTTTATCCTTGATCGTTCTGGCATTACATTCTTTTAAAACGATTGCTATGTTTGTTACGTCCAAATGACCTGATATTTTCAGCATCGCTTCTGGTGTAAAGCCGCATATTTACCTCTCAGACAGGGGTGGGCGATATACCGCTAGACACAATTAACCAGTAGAAATTTGTCCACTAGTAGAGATTTCGGACTATCATCTCTATCGTGGTTACACACTCTTGTGACGTGTTTTGTAACTTATTAGAGTTACGAAAGTGATTGTCAAGAGCAGTGAGAGATCCTCTTTTGTTGTTTGACTAATGTGAATCACAGACAGCAGGAATATCAGACTGCTGTCACTTTAAGAGCTGCCTGGACCAGATACTGTTACACATTTTCTTTCTCAGCTGTTTGATTTCACTTAAGACCTAAAGTATTGTGTTTATGAGGATACCTGCAAAGACGGGCATTTTGACACATACAAGTGTGTGTATTTAACCATTGCAGGCTTATAAAGCATCAAAAATAACCGTGCTCAGAAAGTCTCAGACAGCGCTTGTATATGGCGAAATTAGTTCTTTTTCGCTTCTGATTGCACTTCAACAGCTTAAAATCACTTGTTTTTAAACCGCAATGCTTAAAAACACATGCAAAAGATACATTTCATTCATGACCACGTAAGCAATGTCACGTGAGTCTCAGACGCAAAAGAGAACTAATTTTGCCATATACAAGCGCCATCTGAGAGACTTTCTGAGCACTGTTATTTTTGACGCTTTATAAGCCTGCAATGGTTAAATACACACATTTGTATGTGTCAAAATGCCCGTCTTTGCAAGTATCCTCATAACCACAATACTTTAGGTCTTAAGTGAAATCAAACAGCTGAGAAAGAAAACGTGTAACAGTATTTGGTCCGGGCAGCTCTTAAAGTGACAGCAGTCTGATATTCCTGCTGTCTGTGATTCACATTAGTCAAACAACATAAGAGAGGATCTCTCACTGCTCTTGACAATCACTTTTGTAACTTTATTTAGAAGAAATATATATTTAATTTACACAGTGAAGTATATGCTGTGTTTTTATTCTTTTGATTACTTTATACAATGTAGAATTTCTTATTTGTTCTACTGTAGTTTTTTTGTCCTATTGCCTGTACTTTCTTATTCTTAATAATCCAAAAATAACTATATTGTGATATATATCGTTAACGTGAAATAAAATGACTTATATCATGATATATGATTTTGGTCATATCGCCCACCCCTACTCTCAGACTGAAATGAATGTGAGCCTGACATTATAACTAAACCTGTATATTTGGTGAAGCAAGAAGGACCGGTGCTTGCACATGAAAAACTCGCCAGAGCATTACTAGACAGCTGCTGGTGGCAAAGTGTGTGTTATGGTGATCTGGGCTGTTGCTAGGAAGTTGTTAAAGGGTTAGTTCACCCAAAAATTAAAATTAGCCTGCGTTTTACTCACCCCCGAGGCATCCTAAGTGTATATGACTTTCTTCTTTCAGACGAATCCAGTCGGAGTAATATAAAAAATTGTCTTTGATCTTTCAAGCTCTATCATTGCAGTCATTGCAAAAGTTGTTAAATAAAAATCACCCATCCATAAAAAAAAAAGTGTCTCACACGGCTCCGGGGGGTGAACAAAGGCCTTCTGTAGCGAATCGATATGTTTTTGTAAGAAAAATATCCATATTCAAAATGTAAAAATCACTTTAATGTAGCTTGCGCCAACAGTTACATCAAGCCGACCTCATACGTCATTCCCCCGGAACTGCTTCCGTGTACAACAGTGAGCGCAAGCTAGATTCAAGTGATTATTGCATTTTGAATGTGGATATTTTTCGAACAAAAACGCATGGATTCGCTACAGAAGGCCTTTGTTCACCCCCCGGAGCCGTGTGAGACACTTTAATTTATGGATGGGCGTTTTTTATTTAACTTCTTTTGGACTGAAGCAATGCAACACCCGCTGACTGCAATGATAGAGCTTGAAAGATCAAAGACAATTTTTAATATAACTCCGACTGGATTCGTCTGAAAGAAGAAAGTCATATACACCTAGGATGCCTCGTGAGTGAGTAAAACGCAGCCTAATTTTCATTTTTGGGTGAACTAACCCTTTAAGAATGGTTGCTAAAGTATACGACTGCTAAGGTGTTCTGGGTGTTAATAGTAGTTGCAATGCGGTTGCTAGGTTGTTCTTGGAGGTTGCTAAGGTATGTAGTTGCTAAGGGGTTCTGAGTGGTTGCTAGGACATTACTAGGGTGCTAGGATGTTGCTATGTTGTTACTAAGATGTTCTGAGTTACTGTAACGCTTTGCTGTGAGGTTGCTAGGGTGTTCTGGATGGTTGCTAGGACATTACTAGGGTGCTAGGATGTTGCTATGTGGTTACTAAGATGTTCTGAGTGACTGTAACGCTTTGCTGTGAGGTTGCTAGGGTGTGCAGGGTGGTTGCTAGGACATTACTAGGGTGCTAGTATGTTGTTATGTGGTTACTAAGATGTTCTGAGTGACTGTAACGCTTTGCTGTGAGGTTGCTAGGGTGTTCTGGGTGGTTGCTAGGACATTGATAGGGTGTTTTGGGTGGTTATTAGCATTTTGCTGTGTGGTTGCTATATACAATGTATACAATGGCTAAGGTGTCCTGGGTGGTTGCTAGGACACTGCTATGTAGTCAGTAAGATAATCTGGGTGGTTGCCAGAATGTTGTTATGTGGCTGTAAAGTTGAGAGTGCTTGTTAGAGAGTTGCTTTGTAGTGTTCTTGATGGTTGCCGAAGTATTAATTTATTAAGGTGTTTTGAGGGGTTGCTAGGACGTTGCAGGGGTGTTTTGAGTGGTTGCTAGAAAGTTTCTACGTGACTGCAAGGATGTTCTGAGAGGTTATTAGCATTTTGCTGTGCAGTTGCTAGGGTGTTCTGGGTGTTGCTAAAGTACATGTTTCCTGTAGTGTTCTGGGTGGTTGCTAGAATGTTGCTATGCGATTGCTAAGATGTTGTGAATGATGGTTAGCGTTTTGCTATGCTGCTGTTGCTAAAGCATATGATTGCTAATGTGATCAGCATGGTCGCCAATACGTTGCTATGTGGTTGGTAAGGTGATTTGGGAAGGTTGTTAGCAAGTTGCTTGGGTGTTCTTGATGGTTTCTAAGGTATTCAGTTCCTAAGGTGTGCTGGGTGGTTGTTAGCAAGTTGCTAAAGTATATGATAGCTTATGTGATCTGGGTGAATGCTATGGTGTTCTTGGTGGTTTCTTAAGTATTTTGTTGCAAAGGTGTTCTAAATGGTTGCTAGGGTGCTTTGTTTTTTTGTTTTTTAAAAGCTCTGAGTGATTGCTAGAGTGTTATGGCTGATTTTCTGTGCCTAAATATGGATCTGTTTACCCCAAAATGAAAACTCTTTGTAATTTATTAACATTCATGTCATTCCAAACCTGTATGGAACGTAAAAGAAGATATTTAGAGAAATTCCAAAAGGTGTTTTATACAACAAGCTGTTTGGTTACCAATATTCTTCAGAATATCTTCTTTCGGCTTCTGCAGGTTTTGGAATGCAATGAAGGTTCTAGTGAGTAAATGACAGAATTTGATCGGAGGCATCATTTAGGTTTGTAGCACAAATGGAACGGAATGAATAATGTGGCGAATTATAATACTTAGGGTTAGAGGTTTGTTGTAGCAATAATTGCTACAGTAACAGCAGCTTCACCGCTAAATGTACTGCGTCCCACATCTCGCCGACCTCCAGATGCTTTTAGCTCTGGCCGCTTCTATGAACCAGGGGTCTATGGTTATTTCTGTAGGGTCAGCTCTACTTTCTATAGTCTAATGAATGCTCCAGATTTCTGTACTGTGTCGGCACCTGCGCCAAGAGGCATTCTTTGTATATCTTATCTTATACTTGATGAAAGTCCGAACTCAGTTAAATCTCACATGCACTGCAACTTTTTCCCATCGGCACCCCCACCATCCAACGCTGCGACATCTACAGATGAAAATCCTTGTCTGCGTTAGGATGAAGCATCATCTGGTCAAAAGCAGCATTGCAATACAGGATGATCTAATTTACACATACCACTGGATAAACCCCCACAGACCGCATATATCTTAATTGAGGGTAAATAAACTGAGGGTCTGTGTAGAAGCATGTGTATGTGATGTCATCATGCCCGTTCAGCCGTGTGAACAGGAAGCAGAACCCCTGTGATGGGCTACAGCACATCTGCAGTGGTTTGGTGCCGCATTTTAGTGCACTCTTACCATAATGGCTGTAGGAGAAGTCTGGCTGTGCTGGGGCGGCTTTGCTCAGGTCCTGAGTGGGAGTCGTCGCCGGGGCAAAACCTAAAGGGCCTGCGCCCGGCGTGGCGGGAGGGGGAGGCATTCCCTGTGCTACAAACTGGTCACCTTGAGGTGTCCCAAAGCTATATCCTATGTTGAAAAAGAAAAGAATGCAGGAATATACATCACGTGGTTGAGCAGTCCATATATAGAAATGGCACTGCAAAAAATATAGGAACTGTTCACTTACCAAACTGAGGTTGCGCGCTAAAGCCCTGCTGGGGGTATCCCTGAGGCGCCCCAAATCCCGCTGTAGGTGCTGCAACTAGAAATGCATTAAATGGAGAAGGAGGTTGTGCGGGTGCCCCACGGCCAGCAGTTAAAGGAGGTCCATACCCACCTGAAACACAGAAGGAGTTCACACACATCACATCTTAGTCAAAACTCACTCAGGTTAAGTCCTATTCATATCAAGTCCGATGCAACTGAGCAAGTATACCAAATATTTATAAAATAAACTATGCACACCAAATATTATGCAATGTAATTCCACTGAATAAATTGTTCAACATACAAACATTACATATAAAATAATAAATATATTATTTATAATATATGAATATAAATTATATGTAATGAAAATATATACATTATTTTAAATGATCAAATATATGTATATATATATATATATATGAAGAGTTCATTTGTAAAAACAGATAACTCCGTTCTTAACCATTTTCAAAAATCAAGTTTTTTCAATGTGCATTTCAATTAATCTCAATCAAACTGCAGTTGGGTTATTTTGATTAGGTAAAAATAACTTAAAAATACAGCAAACTAACACAATAAAAACATGATAACATAATAAAAAAACATGATTTAAAAAAAAAAAAAAAAATGAAGTTATCTGTTTTTGCAAATACAATCTTCATATATATATGTATATATTCCAAATGTATATATTCCAACGTTTAAAGGTTTGGGTTCAGTTTATTAATAAATAAAATATTAATGAATAAATTTAATATTTTATATTATCATAAATAAATACATTTGTTTATTCAGCAAAAAACTGCATTAAATTGATCAAAAGTGACAGAAATTTATAACATTACAAAAGATTTCTATTTTAAATAAATGCTGTTCTTTTGAATCAGAACAATTCTAAAAAGAAAAAATATCATCCTTTTTTTTTTTTTACAAAAAAAATATATATATTAAGCAGCACAACTGTTTTCAATCTTAAAAAATAATAAAAATGTTTCTTAAGCTCCAAATAAGCATATTAAAATGATTTCTGAAGGATCAGGTGACTGAAGATTGAAGTAATGATGCTGAAAATTCAGCTTTGATCACAGGAGTAAATTACATATTTAAACATATTGAAATAGAACACAGTTATTTTAGTGTAATAATATTTCACAATATTAGGGGTTTTTTTCAAACTTTTGAACGATGTGTAAATATAAAGTAAAAATATAATAAAATATAAAGTATATTCAGGGAAATGGTGTGAAAAGGCCTTAGTGATAGATCAAATGCCAAAATATAATAACCAAATAATAAAACAAAACATACCAAGAGGTTGACCTGTAGACACCCAAACACCTGGAACAAAAACACATTTTAACTCACAACCACCAGACCATGAAATTACAAACTGAATCAGAACTGCACGTCAAACAAGGGCGAAGCCAGAACATGTTCAATTAAAGTGTTGTATTTCTGGAATCACGCCAGGCAGGGCAGGCTTATTTTGGGCGAGATCTACGTGAAAACATTCCCCCCCCGCACGCTGGACAAACCCAGTGTGGTTTAGCCAGATGGCGCATTTGGCGCATTTTTCAGGTTGGGACGTGTTACGCTCCCGCTGCGTTCTGGCCCACCGTGTCACTCACCCTGAGGCCCGTAGCTCTGCTGCCAGCTCGGAGCCGGTTGTGCTGCCCAGCCATTGGCTGTGCTTAAGATGGCTCGGGGCCCCCACTGATTGGCTCCCAGCTGACCGGGGGAGGGAGCTTTGCTGTCCCGTGGCTCCGCCTTCTTCACTTCAACCTGCACAAAGGACAAGAGGTCGTAACTAGCGAGAGGAGAATTAACATACTGCCTACCTCCCCCACTCACCTATCAGAAACTTTAGCCCTCACCTCAGAAAAGATACTCTTACTTAGGCCAAATACATGACCGTAGTCCAGATGGAATGGAATATACTTGGTCTCTTCTATTGGATAACTTTTTAAACCAATGTTTCGGAGGTACTTGGGTATGAAAGGGACATTTAAGTCAGCTAAAAGTCTATAGGTCAGATCAAGCAGGTCGAGTTCTGCGTAAACTTGAGAATAAATATTAATTTGCACAACCACAGACATACCTGAGAAACACTGTCTCTTCATATATCCTACATCTCAGCTCTTTTTCAAGTAGTTATAAACTGCTGATAGAAAATTAAGACTTACCTCACCCTGGCTAATGCTTAAGAACCTCAGTTTAGATACGACAATAGAAATATAAAGGTCAATGATGTTTAAATGTATGATAATCTAATTGTACCAAATAATTAACATGCAGATAATAAAAATGGAGAGACAAAATTCTAATCAGAGAGGAATCTTCATACTGTGTCAAACATGAAATTAATATACATTTTCTGCAGAACCTTAGCAGGCAAAAATAGTGTTTGCCCTTGCTTATGTGTGAGGTAAGCTGTTTTTGCCAAGGTGTGGCTAAGCGTTTGCTAAGGTATTCTTAGTGCTTTAGTGCACATTTATGCAGATGCTTACAGGGTCTAATTAAAAGATCCCACCCCAAAGATTCTACAATGTTCTGGTCTCTAGATACGTCTTGGAACTGACTATTAAAATTGCAATGTAACGGTAGTAGTAACCGATTTTTTCTTCCGTATTGTGACACGCATTTGAATTAATAATCCATTGGTTGTTGGTTGGATGGAAGCAGTTCTCAGTTGTTCAGTTGCATTGCTGTCTGAAGAGGGTCAGAGAGCTCTCAGATTTCATCAAAAATATCTTTGTGTTCTGAAAATTAACGAAGGTCTTACAGGTTTGGAACGACATGAGGGTGAGTAATTAATGACTGAATTTTCATTTTTGGGTGAACTAACCCTTTAATTGTGCCTACGGGTATATCGCCCACCCCTACACAATATGATCAATAATATGCATTTAGAAAACATATTTCAATTCTCATTTTTATGCTGACCTAAACTGCAAAGTATTAAAACACCTCTACTCAACAAACCACACATCCTTTGAGGTATCATTCATGCCTTTATGAATCATGATTATTTTGCTCAAAAAATACAAATCACGATTATTATCATTTAAAAAAAATTCACAACCACAAAAAAAAAAGAGAATGTCACCTTGCACGGTTTGCTCAGATTTAGTCTCAGCAAACAGCATAAACGACTGTGTGAAATAAAACAGACTTGGCTGTATTACACTTTCATTTGAGCAGAATATCTCAATAGAGATCACTTGCATGTTTACTGGTGTTTTCAGCTCATCGGCGCTTTTTCCGTAACGTAGAGATGCATGCACATGGTTGCCAGGTTGGGAAGATTAAGTAAACCAATAAGGTAGAAAATGTATTGATTTATGAAAGAAGCTTCGATTGGGGGATTTAAACTTTTGAAATATGGCAACTGCAAAAGCGTGTAACCAATGCAAGATTACTAGTGCTGTCAAACGATTAATCGCATCCAAAATAAAAGTTTTTGTTCACATAATATATGTATGTGTACGGTGTATATTTATTATGTATATATAAATACACACATACAGTAAATATTTTTTAAAATATTTACATGCATATATTTATATTCTATATAAATATATTTAACATATAAACAACATATTTTTCATGAATATATACATGCATGTGTTTGTATTTATATATACACATAATAAATATACACAGTACACACATATATATTATGTAAACAAAAACTTTTATTTTGGATGCGATTAATCGTTTGACAGCACTAAAGATTACACATATGCCAATTTAAAATGAAATGTTATCAGGATAAGTAGCCATACTAGCCAACAGGCAAATATTGTAAACAATTTTGCTTAATAAATCGAGAAAGGCAGAAATCATGATCAGGATTAAAATACGATTCATTGTACGGACCTAAGTAATGCTTCCCTTAGCAATTACCACTAGTTATATAATTATCCAATTAGGCGAATGACATTCTATTACCTGCCACTCAGGAAAAAAAAAGGACAAACGTGGTTTAACACACACACAGGGAAATTTCACTCCAGTTAAAGTGGAGATCCAGAAATAGACCTGAGACTCTAAAGGGGGTGAGTTATTGGGGTCACCTTGCATCAAGAGCGAGAGATGATATTTTTCCATTGGAAAGCAGCATAAATGTAACGACTCTCTTTTCGTCTCTCTCCCTCTCTCTCTCACTGTCGACCTAATTAGGTATCAGTTTGAGCGAGTGGTCTGCAACCCTCGCATCGGCAACACATCCCCCCCCCCCCCACCC